ATTCTTACTCTATAAAAATACTATTGTAAATATTATATATTCATTAAGCAACATAAACATATTATTTTTAGTCAAGATAAAACACTAAATCACCATTAATATAACTTGTTTCAGATCATATATGCAATGCAAATAAATGAAAGTCAATCTAAAGTATACACATGGATTTGATATTATAATCAACTACGAAACGCAATTAAAAATGTTTAGTTTCTTTTCCAATGATAGATTGATTTAATTAGAGCATATCTTTTCGTGTGGATTAAATAAATGTGATTAGTAAAATAATTATATTTATCCAAACACGAGGAATTTTCTGCAGTAATAGTAATGGTCATGTGGATAAGAAGGAATTTTAAGGTAAATAGTAATTTGTAAGGATGATACACGTTTAAGACCATCATCGACTTTCTGTGTTGATAAAAACATTGAACATTTATTGTCTTCTGTGCATTCCAAAATAATAGGTGTAGATTATATGATTGGGGGTCAGGGTGATTATCGTAATCAGTGGTTACAGACTTTGAGTGACGTGGCTCAAGTCGTTTGTAGTGGCTCAGATGCATCCATTCATTGTCTTCGCTCCGAATTCTAAGCATCTAAATTCCTCATATTTCTTTTTGTTTGTATTTCGCTAACTTATTTTTTCCAGAATTTTATCTTCGATGCCTGATCTTTTCTGTTACCACTAATATTATTAATACTTCTACTGATCTAGGATTTTGGTTTCACAATTTCATCTCGCTGTGCTAATGGGGTACAACTTGGACCGAAGTGCGTAAGTAACAGGTTCGGCATTGTGACTGACCGACTGTGCTTTCCAAATACCAATTTAATGTTCAGATGCTTAGTGATGAATGGAATTATTAAAAATTGTTAACATGAAGTATTCTATCTACAAATTTAAAGTTCAGAAAATTGTTTGGAAAGATAAAGAAATTAAATGGCATAACTTTTGAGGTGTGTTTCGGCACAATGGAGATAAAGACGGAACAAATGTGCATTTGCAACAGAAAGGAAATATTTTGAAGGAGTGTTTAGGTTGATGCAAATCAAAATATTTTATAAACTAGCATTCACATGACCTCAGCTTGTAGTTTTATTAGATAAATTATATATTTCTAATCAACTAAAATAACATATGTAAACATATCTAAGATCTATTTTTATTGGGTTTTTAACCCTAGGATTGCTGTTTAGGACTGCAGTTGATCATATTTTTGGATATGTGCATTCTGAGTGGATTATTTTGATATTGCCATTAAGTCACAAGCATATTAAGTAGAGTTGAATGGTAGCTAGTAGTGGAATCAAGGATGCACGTTCTGTCCCATTTGGGGCTCATCAGCTATATGTACCTGCATCTTATAGTGGCTATCTGGACTCAGCAACTATGGGGATGACACAATGGTGTCTGGAGTTATCTATTTATTTATTTGAACACAAATATTGGTACAAAGGGGCACCGAATACATATGCACCACACAAGGCACTTGATTTGTGTGTGGACTGTGATACTGTCCGGGTGCCCAAACCGACACAGATTGTTTTCTTAAGGGGCCACACACCGAGCCTTCGACCTAAAGGTCTGATCCACAAGGTAGTGAAACAACATCAGGAGATGCAGTTCCATGGTTGCTGGTGACCAATAATTGGTTCATACGCCATTTATTCCACCACGATCCTGGAGCCCATGTGCACCAATGGTTTGGAATCAGGGTTTTCCAACTCCCCTAGGTGGACTCTCCGTGTCCACCAACCCGGTTAGTGTCAGATATTCGCTTTTCGTCCTCTCAATTTAGTAAACAACACTCCCGCCACGAGAAGATAGTGAGTAGGACTTCCCTGGCAGAGGCTATATATGCGTGGCCATGTGAGAGCATTTAGAGGGGGGAGGGACGACTCTACCCACCTTCGGCCGTATCAGGGCGTTTGGGGGACTGCAGGTACATTCAGCTGACAAGTCCCAAATACGATGAAACGCATGTCTCGAATTCCATTTCTAAGCCCTACACAATTCCGCATAAAATACTTGAGATCATTTGGAAGACCCTAAATTTTATTACATAAGCTATTAGGAAGAGAGTGAGTGAGGAAAAGTATAAATAAGTAGTGAAGTGAAATAAAATTTGCTAAGTACATTTAATCTGAGCAAACATCACAACAGAAACAATATAAACTGATAAACAAAAAACTAGCTATCAATAAACATGTAATAAGGTAGGAACGATGACATGATATGATATTGTGTTGTAAATATTTAGAAAGACATGCAAATGAAGAATAAATAAGCAATGAATGAATATAAATACAAATGAAAGTGTATATGGAAGAAAAAGTACAACACTGTACATAAAACTGGTTTTGAGAGATATTTTATATGCATATGATGACACCTGTCCGTCAGCCTTAACCTAAGTAAATCAAACGGGGTTCGAAACCAAGACGAAATGTTTGGAAATCTTATGTTCAAACAGCTAATTCACCAATTCGATTAATGATTTAGCTTTATTAATATGAAAGTCAGGATTATATATCTGATGTGAAGTCATTTAGTTATATACAATGTATTATTTCATTTGTTCACATTTTCAAATACTTTACATAACATATCTAACCAATATGTTCACAACAAAACTTTGAATTGGTCAGGTAATTAATTTTTCAATGTAAGGTAATTGTCGAATAGTGTGCGCAATAAAAGGTTAATTATTACAATACATATTTCGATACAATTAAATGAAACCATCTTTTAAATCTGGCAATAAACACTCATAAACACACACACACATATATATATATTTCTATGTGTAAGCATGCAAGCGTACATAAATGTGTGTATGCATTACCACCCACCTATGTAGTTCAAGGGAAAATCAGTCTAGCTTTAAGAAACAAAATGAAAACAGTACATGACTGAATTTTGATAGGTAACAAGCATTTTAAGCTCAGCTTTAGCAAAAAATAAAATCGAAATATACACGGGGTACATAAGAATATACACCGTAAAAGTAGGCCAAGTTTCAAAATATTAATTCATTTATAGTAATAATGAAATAGAAATAGGTCTTCTACGGTAAAATAGAAGAGATGTAGTAGGAAAATTCGAGTCAGTTACCTTCGTTCATTTCGCATGTAGCCTAACGTACACACACACACACAATGATATAGGAAGGAACAAACCTTAAGGGTTTAGCTTTAGAGATTACACTGTAAGAAAATGATTTATGTAATTCGATTAGTTCTTTTTGAAGTAATCCAAGGACTTAGACTTTGACAAAAATGATGAAATTATGACGTTGTACATATATTTGGATTTTTCAGTATTGGTTATATTACATACAACGCTTGGATTTAAGCTTGAATACAATCGCTCTAGTTTCTGTCTTGGGATATAAATTGTAACTCAATATATTCTTGTTTTCAATTTGATTGGTTAACAAGTTATAGATAATAAAGAATACAATACACCCAGACAATACAGTGATCTTGAGTGCTGTTAGATGTATGAGTGAGGTTATCAGTTCCCGGTTGCCTACACCGTGAAGGGTCTTTCTAGAAGTACCTGAAAAGGGAATCAGGTTGGAATTGGTCTTAGTGACCTGGGAGCGTGTCCGCAGTGTCCAAGGGATAACTGCTTGAGGCCCATCACACACGATCTTCTTGTGAGTAATTTGTGTGTTAGCTCCGTAATTGTCCAAATCTTACCTCCGGAGACGGATACTCGTGGGATAAGGCGAGGGGTGCATTTCTAGGGTCGACCTTTCGTAACCCCATTCTTTCCTGTGGGGAGGCAGCATTGCTGTTACGCTGGCTGTCTAAGGGAAAGGCCTTACTGCCGTCACCCCTACGTACAGTCAGCAGTACGACTTTGCCCTCGAACGTTGGGTTTGCTGCTTTTAGTCTTACCGCTCTTCAACAGATCTGTTCGACATGGTAGGACCTTGGGGAACGATTGTTCCAGCCAGTATAGCCCGATTGGTTCATCGCGTTAGGCAGTCTGACTACCACGTCAATGTAGCAGCAACGGTCGGGACAACACGCACACAGTTGATATGTCTAAAACTCTATGAAGAAACTGGTCAGGTGTTTTATTACCATAATCATTATTCGATAAACTAAATATGTATAAATAATCCAAACGTTAGGAAGTGTACAGTCCCTAAAGTATTAATCCAACATTGATGATTGTTCGTTCAAAATAGCAGCGTACAACTTTAACCATACAAAATCTATTCAAATTATGTCAGTCATTAAAGAGGTACGTTCAGTATTATCAATTAATAAGTTCAACCATACAAGTTGGAGTTTACGCAATAAATGAGCACAAATGAAACTATAAAAAACTGGAACTTAATGATAAAAATATTTAAAAATTATTAGATGTCTGATATATCAAAATACACAAACCAGAAGATTATGTTTACTTATTACTAAATGTTTCTTAAAGATTTTATAACTTTTTAATATGAATCATAGTTTCATTTAACAGAACAGCAAATTGAACAGTAACACATATTCAATTGTCAATGTTTTTTGTAACTCTTTCTTTCGTCTATATATTGCAAAACACACCATCACTTCCTAATTACCAAGATAGAATAAATTACTAATTATACTTTCTTTCTTCAACTCAGGCTGAACATTTTCCACATAACTTGATGTGCAGCGATATAAGCAGCCAAATTTCTTGTGCTTGAGGCAAAAACGTTACCAGTTCTCATGAATTTATTAAATGGGTGATATACGCGGGCTGAATAGCCAGACGTGTTGTAAACACGTCTGAATGTTCGGAATATACAGGTGAGTATTCTGAACGTGAACCTTGAGAAGTTTGTGGAAATCATGACTGCGATGCGCCGGTATGAATATGAATCTGTAGTGAATTCAAGATCCTTCATTGACTTAAACATTTTTATGTACATAAATTGATAAGCATCAATAAGGATGTAGATATATTGAGAAATACCAATTACACATTTATTACAAAAGAAATTTACCTGTCGTATATCGGTTACAGAATAGGCATGACCAAGAATTAATCCTAACGGACCATTCGCTTCAATCTCATGTGGATCAGCATCAATACTACAAGCCATTAAAGAGGCACGATTCAGTGCATGTTCCATAATGCCGAATATATTAGTAGGCGCTTTCGCACCTAAATCAACAAGTTCTGTAAGACCACCAGTGAAATCTTCCATTGCTTCTGCTGTACACCCACCACGAAGCGCATCATAAGACGACACAAGTCTTAACAGGATAAAAAGCAACGAAAGCTCAGTATCATATCAGAAAGTTAAGGAATAAGTAGAAAATCATGTGAATCCTTTATTAATGTAAAATCTACCAAATCATAGTCAGTAGAATTGGAGGACTCATCCGTAAACAGTTTGCCAATCCAAAAAGGTAGTTAGTCAAAACTCCGATTCAAAAGATTTAGTAACAGGTTAAATGGAGTTTTCTTATTTGAATCTCTTCCTCGTCAGATAGATATCAACATAGAGCCTGGCACAAATGTTTCACCCAAGTTGCCATACCACATTAACACGGCAAGATGAAAACAACAAGCAATCGAAATAAAGTAGCCGCATTAGTGAGAAGACAGACTAATCATTGGGAATGTGGAAAGGTATGGATGAAAGGAAACTGGAAGTTCAGATTGAGGGGAAGATAAAGAGTCAGTGTATCTGCGCCATTGAGTACGACTCTTAGCTATATCATCTAATCATTGACAATGGTTATCAAGCAGACCTTAACCAGGTAGTTTAAGTCTACCTACACGGCTCAGACCAAGAGTAAATGACTTTATGGGATGATGTCAAATTTTGATTCGGCTGTCCCCAGCTTTCTTCCAACCTACTTGTGAACTGGCGAGCATTATTCATAGAGGTAAGCGGTGGTTAGGCAAACAGTGCATGTTCTAACCACCTAAATCGCTAAAAATCCACTACCTTATAAACCGATTTGTTACCTTTTTTGTTATCTCTGTTCCTGTTAGTAACTTCTATTTTTTACATCACATTTGCAAATAGTGCTGACGATTCGAGCCTACAAAGTTCTATGTCTGGTCTACAAATCTAACTATACGAGGGAGTACATACTATTCGAACCACATATTTAAATGGGATACAAATGTCATTTATCAAGATTGCAGAACCCAGTGGAATGAGTGGGTTTATGCAGTCTATGAAACATGTATACGAAACCTAAAACGTGACCACCTACTTGAACCTATTTATTTTGTGTGAAGTGCCAAATCGATTCAGCTTCCAGTTATTTGGCATCTTAAAACTTCATAGTTTTATAGGTATAAATATAACATCAATTTCATACATGTGCTTTTTGTACTGAGCTCAAGTAGATAGTCACTTGTAAGTTAATCGATTGAACTGAATTGTGAAGGACTCAGAAAAGGAGGATATTACTGTCTTTTGATAGCCTTTATCTATATGTTTCCACTGAATACCATTCAAATAAAATTTTAAAAAATGAAATCTGCAAAAACCTTTTCGGACTAATCATTATAAAGAACAATTAATATAATAGTAATGTCATTATTATAATGACTGACTTAGCATAGGCTTTCTCTAATAAAGCTGACCAAAATTCATTAGGATCTGCGGAATGCATAAATACTAAATGTCCATTACGAGTTGGTAAACGATCATCTACAACAACATCGTACCAATCACCGAATTGCCAGAATCGAAACCAAAACATTCCAACATATGGATATTTTGATGATTTTTCAAATGATTGATCAGGTGGGACAACCTTCAAGTGCATTTTTTATTTTTTGGAGAGGAAAAATAAACATTTTTATTGTTTTAAAAGAATAATTCAATTTAATGTAATGTAAAAATATGTGTGGTATTGAATATGTGAATTAGTTTCATAATTCGAGGTACGTGTACGAAATCCTGACGTGTTCATGTCTGACAGACTTTAAGTCAGATGTATAAATTTGTACATCACAACCACAGTTTATAAACAAATAACTCAATAATTGATTAAAGCAACTCAGAAATTAGGAAAACAACCAAATAGTGTCATCTTTTTGTCATTTATCTGACTATCGCTTTGTCTGAATAAAAAACGGTGTTATCATGTGTATATTTTTAAGTGAGTATTCCTACGTCACAATCCTCAAAATGCATACTGTTTGAGTTGACAATATCTGTGGTGGTCGGTATTTGATATAATCCTTAAACTTCGTATACTGTTCGTCGCGATAACCTTTCTATATAACGTACCAACGGTATATTAATCAGAAGGCAAATACGAAGTGTCGATTACGTTTATTGCGAAACCACACACATATATCCAAATCTACAGATGTGTTAAACAAGCATAGGAGAGTTGTGCCGAAAGGCAAGCAAGCGAACGAGAGCCAGAGCAAGAGCGTGACGAGACCGTGCGAGCGAGTGAGCGATTGTGTTCAATATGAATAACATGGACATATATATACCATGTGAAATGAATGAGTAATCGAATCGAATAAGCGGTTAGTGGTAAGATTAGCAGAGTGAATAAATGCGTAGGCAGTAATCAATATTCAAGCATACGTATTTCATACAAGCTCAAAATAATAATAAGGATACAATAAATTGTTATAGCGCGGATGGCTTTGTCCGCTAAATAAGTTAACAAAAAGGGCTTAACTGGGTTAAATGAGAGTAAACCCATTTGCACGTGAGTCGCTATATATCCATTGACCATTTCATTATTGTTGTTTTCAGAGGATTACTTAGATTCAGTGAGGACATTTAAGGAATAATGAAGTCTAGCTACGTGTGTGAAATTGATGATTTACAATTGCTTTTATCATCCTAACTCTTAAGGTTTAGTGCTTTGGATATATTTTACTTATGCCATATAGCGATTCCCAAACTATGGATTATTTTTGGTATAGGGAGATTTTTAGAGGTTGAAGGATTTTCAAATCAAAAACTGATATGGGATTGCTCAGTAGTGTCCAACTCTGACCCCATCACAAGAGATCGGATCCAAGACTGATTTCCAGAGCAAACGAGTAATTTCTGGGTCACTGAACTAGCATCTAATGGTGTAAATGTTTAACTTCAATCAATTCAGAATGAGTAACTATCTTCCATTACATGTAGTGAATAACTGTCTAACATCTAATATGCATGTTGAGACTGGATGAAAAAAGGACAGATAAGATTAGCTTGTTATGTGGAGTAGTCGACTATACGATAATTGAGTTGGATTATGATTGGTTTTATTGTCACAACTAATTGGATGGAATCTTAAAGCTGGTACAATCTAGTATCATGCAGTCTTATCAGATGTAGTTCAGAATAAGACCCGATAATGATCCGACTTTAAGGTTTCTATTGCCATTTTACAAAAATAATAAAATGGACGTTGCAAATGAATGGAATGAGTGTTAATTTTATTCTTAATGAAACTATATGCTGTAGTGTTTACTAAATGTCTATTCTTTTATTTTCATTGAATGACTTTCTCATTTGTCATTCTCGACAATATTCTTATTTTCCTTTATGTATGTGTGTTTAGCGCATTTATTGGTACCTTTGTTATATTATTGTCAAGAAATTTTTTCATTGGTTGAGATCATGAGTCGAACACGGGACCTATCGGTCTCGCGCGAGAACGCTTAACCTCTAGATCGCTAAGCTGGAATCCAACTGTGTTAATGTCTAGCTTCAACCAATTCACGAAATTGCGCCACCGTCCACCATTTTCTTCAATGAATTATTATCTCACAACAGAACTTTCACGAGCGGGATCGTGGATGCGCACTACTGAAGAGTCCCATACTAGGACGAAACGGCCGTCCAGTGCCTCCAGGTTTTCAATGATAATGTAGCTTTAATTAACTCATGAATTCAACTATGAAATTACTAAAATTTCTACAAAACTCCCTTTTGATTTTAAAGTATATTTAGAAAAAAAGTCAACTGATCAGGGTGTTTACATCTTTTAAAGTGTATTTGATAACCATTAATCCTATCAATAAATTGTTGATTCGACCAATCTAGCCATTTCAATTATTTATTTTGTCAAATCAATTGGATAATTATAACTTAGATGATTCTATTTAATAAAACTGATCACTTTCCATGTAACTATTTGACTGAACCTTTAAAAATAATCAAAACAAAAGACTTGCATAATTTGATTATGGATATTTCATTGTTTCAAGAAAGTTGATTATTAGTGTGTAATTATGTAAAAAAAATTATTGAAATGAATATAGTTAAAGCATTTTGGAAATTTTGAGATGTATGTATTGCAAAAAATCAAGAAAGATTGAACATCATATTTGATTGGCTCTTGAAATTATAATTACGATAATGATATCATTTTAAATATAGAACTATTTTGGGATTTTGTGTTTTCTCCTTGACTGGAATTATTCAATAGAGGAATATATGCTATTACAATTATTATGATCATCTTGCTTTAGAAATGAAAGATTGAAGTTATTTACATCTAGAAATTGGCTTCTAGGCATAAAGCATGTATCGGTGTACTAGTGTAAAATGTACATAACGTTTTGAAATAGTTTCAATATCTGCACAAATAGCTTTAGGAAGATCTAATACAATAACAAACAATAATTATAGTTCTTTGAATAGTGACCGTCATGGAGAGTAAAACTCTTAGACTTTCAATATTATAATACCAAATCCTAAATACTACTCTATGACTGGATATGTCTCTATTTCATATGTTTCCCACCAGTCCATTTGATACTTGTGTACAAGCCGAAAACAAGTGATTGAACTCCACTGTATAACATTATACAATATAGTATTAAAATTATTCTCGCTGGGCAAATTAACCGTGGTTAAGCAAATCGAAATCTGTTTCACTGAGTGTATCTTTGACTAGTATTATTTACTTACTTATTCACTTACGCTTGTTAACCCTCGTGGAGGAGCATAGGCCGCTCACCAGCATTTTCCGTCCAACCCCGTACAGGGCAATCTATTCCAGTTCTTTTCAGTTACTATTGATCCTTTTCATATATGTTTCCAATTTCCCACATAGTGTATTCTTCGGCCTCCCTCTTTTCCGCTTCCCTTCAGGATTCCAAGTTAGGGCTTGCCTCGTGATACGGCTTGGTGATTTCCGTAATGTATGTCCTATCCACTTCCAACGTCTTTTCTTAATTTCCTCGTCAGCTGGAACCTGGTTTGTCCTTTCCCACAGTAGGTTGTTGCTGATGGTATCCGACCAACGGATATTGAGTATCTTACGTAGACCACTGTTTATAAATACTTGCACCTTTTTGATGATGGCTGTAGTAGTTCTCCAAGTTTCAGCTCCATACAGTAGGACTGTCTTGACGTTCGTATTGAAGATCCTCACTTTAATATTGGTTAACAGTTGTTTTGAGTTCCATATGTTCTTCTGTTGTAGGAATGTGACCCTTGCTTTGCCAATCCTCGCCTTTACGTCTACATCGGATCCTTCTTATTTATTGATGATGCTGTCCAGGTACGTGAATGATTCTATATCTTTCAGAGCTTCTCCATCAAGTGTGATTAGGTTGGTGCCCTCCGTGTTGTATTTGAGGATCTTGACTATTAATACGTTAAACAAAATTTAAAAAACAAGATAACCCACACAATAAAAAATGATTGAGTTCAAGTAAATTCTTATTTACTTGATTAAATAATTCTGGATACATTGATAATGAGGCCAAGGCAGCTATAACCCAACAGTTTCCTACAAAAACAAAACAATAATACACAATGATATCACATGATGAACACTACTATTATTACTGATGATCGCACTAATATTAATGCTCTGTCATTTGAATCTGAACGAACCAGTAGATAACGGTGAATCTCCTGGTTTGATTGTTGTCGCCATAAACTATCGGATACAATTGAGTAATTACCAAACTAACCGGTAAAACATATGACTGAAACAAAATTAAGGTTAAACGACTGGCAATTAAATAAAACTAATTTTTTCAGAGAAATTTAGGGGTGATGGTTTAATGATGAAGTAACAACACAACAGTTTCCTTTAAGAAGAACATTGAATACAGTCGAAGTTTGATTGAACAGTTTCGTACAACAGGAATGTTAACGACATAAGAAAACATTGGTTAGAGCTTCTCCAGGGTAATATTGGAACTATTTAACTCAATTTGTTTAGGGTTTTCAAAACTATTATCTTATTCATAATAGTGAGGTGATATTTTGCATTCTTTAACCAACTAAGAAGTTACCAATTTGTCTACTGAACCACTTCTACAATGTTAATTTTAGTGGGTGTAAAACAATCGGAATTTCACCAATCTGGGCATGGGGTTAGCGACCCCGTCCCGTAGAAAACTAACTCGTCAAAAAGACGCTTGCCAGAAATAATACTTCAAACTATTTAAACTCTGCCCTGAAAGTTAGAAGGTCTTCATTTAGAAGAATTATGACGCTTCATGGTGAAAGCCGAGTTCCTTCGGAAGCCACGAGGCCGATGCCCCTTCTAACAACCAGAGCAACAATTTTTATAGATACATGGAACGTCCGAACAATGTGGGAGACCGGGAAGACCAGCCAAATAGCAACGGAAATGAGGAGATACAACTTGGCAGTACTGGGAATCAAAGAAACCCATTTGACACAAGCTGGACAACAAAAGTTAAATACGGGAGAGATGCTACAATACTCCGGTCACGAAGAGTAAAATGCTCCACACATTCAGGGAGTTGCTCTAATCCTGTCCAAAGTAGCACGAAATGCACTTGTAGGATGGGAATCTCATGGATTCAGAATCATCAAAACATCATTCAAAACAAAGGAGGGGATCACAATGAATATTATCCAATGTTATGCACCCACCAATGATAGCAACGACGACATTAAAGATCAGTTCTACGATCGGCTGCAGTCAATCATAGAGAAGTGCCCAAGAAACGACCTCACCAATCTGATGAGAGATATGAAGATATCATGGGACGACATGGAATGAGTGAGAGAAACGAAAATGGAAAAAGATTTGCAAATCTGTGTGCATTCAATAAATTGGTCATAGGAGGCACAATATTTCCACACAAACGTATACACAAAGCTACATGGATCTCACCGGACCACACTACAGAGAACCAGATAGATCATATCTGCATCAACAAAAATTCCGAAGGACAATGGAAGATGTGAGAACCAGGAGAGGAGTTGACATAGCTTCACATCACCACCTAGTTGTGGCCAATTTAAAACTGAAGCTAAAGAAAAACTGGACAACTGGACAAACAGCACTACAAAGGTTCAATATAGCCTTCCTTCGAGATACTGACAAACTCAACGAATTCAAGATAGCTCTCAGCAACAGGTTCCAAGCCTTACAGGATCTACTGAAGGAAGAAGAAACTACTATGGAGGACAACTGAAAAAGTATCAAAGAAGCATTAACTTCAACGTGTCAAGAGGTTCTGGGTCACAAGAAGCACCATCATAAGGAATGGATCTCTATAGAAACACTGGACAAGATCAAAGAAAGGAAGAACAAGAAGACAGGAATTAACAACAGCCGAATACGAGCAGAGAAAGTCCGAGCACATGCTGAATACATAGAAGCAAACAAGCAAGTGAAGAAGTACGTGGAAGAACTAGCAACGACAGCGGAAAAAGCTGCAAGAGGAAATATGAAATAGCTTGACGATACAACGAAGAAACTAGCAGGGAAATACAGTAAACCGGAGAGACTGGTCAAGGACAAAGAAGGCAAGCCAATCACTGAAATTCAACAGCAGCGGAACAGATGGGTAGAATACTTCGAGGAACTCCTGAATAGGCCAGGTCTGAAGCAAGGGCCGCATTCCTACAATTGAAGAACATATGGAACTCAAAACAACGTTCAACCAATATCAAAGTCAGAATCTTCAGTACGAACGTCAAGGCAGTTCTACTGTATGGAGCTGAAACTTGGAGAACTAATACAACCATCATCAAACATGTACAAGTATTTATAAATAGTTGTCTACGCAGGATAATCAATATCCATTGGCCGGATGCCATCAGCAACAGCCTTCTCTGGGAGAGAACAAACCAGCTTTCAGCTGAAGAAGAAACTAGGAAAAGACGATGGAAATGGATAGGACATACATTACGCAAATCGTCAAACTGCATCACGAGGCAAACCCTAACTTGGAATCCTGAAGGGAAGCGGAAAAGAGGGAGGCCGAAGAACACATTACGTCGGGAAATAGAAGCAGATATGAAAAAGATGAATTACACCTGGAAGGAGCTGGAAAGGATTGCCCAGGACAGGGTTGGATGGAGAATGCTGGTGAGCGGTCTATGCTCCTCCACGAGGAGTAACAGGCGTAAGTAAGTAATTAGGTTTCTAAAATCACTTTTTTTTCGTTTAAGCCACATGTTAAACCAATGGTGTGCCATGTTTCCTGGAAAAGGAAGGTTCATCTTGGCCAGAATCTGATTAACCCACAGTACCACAGTATTTAATCTTATCACCGAAAATGGATTGGTAACCATTTGATTGTCAATTTTAACGTTTCTGTATTGGCAGGATCTAGTAATATTTCTTTAGAAATTATTCAGAAGCATATATTAATAAGGTATTGATTTATAAAAAAATCGACCATATTTATAATAATGTAAACTTACCAAGTTCACCTTGTTTAATATCGAAGCGACTAACTCCATCTGCAACAAAACGTGGGCACCTGCTAAGTTCCTGAATAGTGAATAATCAAGGTTCATCTATTGCATGATTCATGCACATGTAACACATATGAACAATAATTTTTTTGTTTAAAAAAAAAGACACATGCATTATTAATACGCAAAAGAAGTTTTCTTACCCATGATTTTGATATTAAAAAGAAACAACTTAAGAATACTAAAAGAACCCATAAAAATAACTAGAATAAATGAAAATTAGATTTTTTCTTTGATTTCTGAACGATATTTAGTGTGTGAAATCAGTGAAACTATTCACAACTGTAAATGATCACTCTTTCATTGGGAGTCCTGAACATCAATGGCAAGACTCAAATAAACAATACAAAATGAATTTAAACTTCACCCCATTGAAAAAGAAAGTGGCTATCGCGAATCAGTAGCTAAGTGGATAACTCGATGGCTTTTGAAGCGAATGGTACTGGGTTCGAATCTCAGAATGAACATCAACTCTGGAATGCAGGTCTATCTAGCTGACGAGTCTCAAATAAGACAAAACTCGCATTCTGGATCCCACTGTAGTTTTGAATGAACCTTATTGGAGTATACAAGCTAAATAGAAATGTTTCAGTCAACGTTTAAGCACATGTAACTCAGATACACACTATAAAGTTACATAATGCTTTATGAAATCTCTTTCTATTAATATGAATTTTAGAAATACTGTGCACTAATTGTCCAATTTATAAAATTTTGTGCGGCAGTTCTAAATGAACGAAAGTAACATAAGGTGGGATTGACAGTTCCGTTAAAACTACGACCACAAACTTCTTAGTTAAGTGAGTTCTTTCCAACTTTTTACGAAAAGAAATTTATGATAAGCGCGAACTGGGAACGGGAGCGACCAAGACAGTTGTTCTTGGAGATATCTGGTCAGTGGCCTGTGCGTCCAGACGGGTAAAAGGCTTAAGTACAGTAAGTAATAAGAAGACTACAGCAGGATTTTCATTGTTTCTTGTCCTGATGTATGTCTGGTAACAACTCAAGCAACAAAGTAAAATCCCAACCAGGGAGTCGTGATGGACCGACAGAAACCAGTCCTATACAACTTTCTTTTATACCACAGTATCATGTCATTAACAGACCACCTCCCTACTTTTTCCACCACATCCCAGCAACAGTAGTGTGTGAACGATATGAAAGTCGCTGGAATGACATTCGTAGCACAAGTTCAAGGGACTGGAGTTCGTGTTTCAAGGTGACAACACCAAAAGAATTAACATTGTTACGTCCGAACACATATTCACGAACCACAGAATTGGAATTTATGGAGATAACACTTTGTTCGTTCTGTCTCATTAGCCGTCTAATCGATATTCACTATAAGTTTATTAAAAATACTAACATCGATCAGGTTACTTCGTAATATATGAAGGACAAGAGTTAATAATAGAAAACATACAGTTAATGAATAATAAAATCAACATAAAGATGACTTACAACAGGTCTTAGCCATCTGTAACTTTGTTTACTCGATCCAGATCCTGATTTGATAGTTGAGTCGGTAGCAGGCATAAATGGATCCTCAAATAAACCACCTCGTTCCATTTGACATTTGATTTCTTGTTTAAACCAATCTGCACTGCACTCTAAGGAAGGTGATTTATGTGTGCGTTGTACCAAGACACTAGATCCATTACACTGGCCACGCATGGCACTACGAGGCGTTTCCGAAGGATATTTGCGGCCCATGGTCGGGAAGAATGTGTTCAGGTACTAAATTTCGCGGTAAAAAAATCATCAAATTGGTAAAAGAAATATGACAAAAATGATCGAGGGATGTAATTCCGTGAGCACAGGGCTTCTGTAGCATAAACAAACTCCCCACACAGAGCTTATCTGAAGTACCATTGGCAAAAGCGACAGTATGAGACGATGGATTCTAACCTGAATCTAGTTATGCTATTAATAATAATTTGACAAATACTATTGGTTTTTTAAATGCCTTGTTTTACCTTCACCCCTTAGAAAACATTTCCAAACTTACCTTTAAATCCAGCTACCACCTACTGAAGAAAAATGATTGAACATGCATAGCACATGTTTCAAGCACTTTATATTTACAAACACATTTATTTGAAGATGTTGAAAAATTAGCTCATTTAACTCTTTTGTTATAAACCTACATAACAACAATCCTGTGAAGAGAATCTTCTTTTTGATGTTTATTTTTTCAAACACAAAAAGTAATTCAGAAGTGTCAGTAACATGCAATTAACACTTATGTGTATTTACAGTTTTAATATGAAGGTAGATATTAAACGTGAAATGAGAAAAGAACACGTTTTCCCAATTATGTCAGCAATTTTCTTATTGGACACAAAACTTCGACTGGGACATTTCAACACTAAATATGAAAATGTCAAGTTCATTAAGAAGCATTAAAATGATTATGAGTTTGACTTTTAAGACAAGATTATCCAAAGTAATGGGGATGATGCATTCCAAAGGTAGATTCGCCCAATGTTAAGTGATAAAGAAGTCCCTACCGGAATGTAGCTCTGTACAAAAGATTACTTTGACAGGTAGTCAGTTAGTCCATTATAATCAACATAGAACATGGAACAAATGCGCGTCAATTCAAGTCGCCAAACTACATTAACAAAGCCCTCAAATATCCTTGTGGGGAGATATCGCTCTCCACGAAACGCCCTCACATGGCCACGCGTATACAACCATTGACAAGAAAGTCCTACTCACTGTCTTCTCGCAGCATTACTGTTGTTCACGAAATTGGGAGGACGATAAGCGGATGTCCGGCGCCTTAACCGGGTTGGTGGACACGGAGGGTCCATCTGGGGAAGTTGAAAAACCCTTATTCCAAACTAATGGTGCACATGGGCTCTAGGATCCTGATGAAACGAATGACGTATGAACCAATTGTTGGTCACAAGGAACCATGGGACTGCATCTCCTGATGTTGCTCCACTGCCTTATGGATCAGACTTTTAGGTCGAAGGCTCGGAAATTGGTCCCCTAAGAAAACCACCTGTTTCGATCTGGGCGTATGGGCAGTATCTTAGCCCTCACACAAATCGAATGACGAAGTGTGGCGCATATATATTTGGTACTTGATAGTACCAATGTTCATGCATTAAAATGAATAAACACATTAGAAAGATCATATATAGATAACAATATAAGTAGTAAATGAATTGAATATAATATAGTAGTGGTGATAATAGGAAAGACTAAATAAAGGGAATATAGTTCGGAAAGACAAGGAATGTTGAAAGTCAAGATTTAGAGAAACATGAAATAGATCCATGTACGTCATTGTGGTTGATTTTGAGTCAGGTTAACCAACCTCTCCAACTACTGACTAAGGTTATTGTGCGAACCTCAACCACATTGTCTGTACATACCAACATGACTCAGCTCCGGGATCAATAACTTCGTAGACTGGTGGCACATTTTGCTTGCCCCATAGATTCTTCTAAACTTATTCCTTCACCTGATAACATTACCCGTTGAAGTAGACGACAAGTAATACGGAAATGAAGAAACAAAATCGAAACTGCATCTTATCTCAATATTGAAGATAGTTTTATGACAGGAGCAACCAACAAATAATTAAACAGTAAACTGAATACAATAAAATAATGTGGCGAAATGAATTTCGCTTTATCAAAACTTGAAAATAGACATTGTTATGCCAACCCTAAATCTGTTCATAAAGTAACGTAGATTGATAAAGGAGTTATGCAAACATAGGAATATTATTATTTGTTCTGGATCTGTCTCAAAATGCATGTCAGATGTAAAACATCATGTAAATGACTTGTATCTTAATGTGGCAATTGATCATCATAACTTCATTCATTGTTGTCAAATGCCGTAAGACGTAATTACATTCCGAATGCGATCTTTATAAGTCATACGTGGTTTATGAAGACTACTAACCCACAAAATAACTATATTCAACAAAGATGAATGGTAAAAAGTTTTACTTTTGCCACTGTTGGTTTCGTGTTAAAGGTAGCTAAGCGTACGTTTTGACTTGATGTTAAAGTTTGTTGAAGTATTCAAATACTGTGTTCGATTACAATTTTCTATTGAATATTATAATCATTGGTGACTGAGTGAGAATTCTTCAGCCTTAAAGAAAAGTCTAATAGCTTGTGACAAGACTCACTCTTTGTGTGTTAAAACTTGTTGTCATGATTTGGGAATTACTTGATTATTTCGAATTTGCGAAAGACCAAACGATTCTCTTAATAGGAAGTAGAATCTACTCAGATTAAGCAGATCAGCAACTGACACAAGTGACGTTTGAGGAGAGAAAAAAACGAGGAATGAAGAATTTCAAAGATAACCAAATCAAGAATACAGGAGTGCAGAATTGTAACAATGTTGATCGTGGTCATCCGCACTTGCTTACAAGTGAAAATAAACAAAACGGCTTTGGTTTCCTAGGCACAATCTAATTCCTTTACAAGACCGTAGAGGAGTTATTTGAATGAAATTGTAGTAATGCTATAACATTATCACAGAAAACTGACAAGCCACTCCGTTTTTAAATACCCCGACAGGAACCGTAGCAAGTCATCACACTAACAAGATGGAAAAAATAAAATAGCCAAATACATTTCCTAAATATATCTTCGAGACATTTCGCACACTTGTGACCAAAAGTACTAGCACTGGATTTATTAGTTACACCACATCGTTCATCATAAAATGCACTTTATGTTACTAAGTATATTAAACTTTTAAAAATCTATTATCTCGTGCTCGGTGTTTTTCTGTCCGAAGCTGGAAGTGTCGCTATTTATTATTTATTTATTTTGAACACATATATATTGGTACAGGAATGCGCCAAATATATATGCGCCACACAAAACAATGAGAATTTAAGAAAAAGAAAAAAGTGGGGAACGTAAAGAAAAATACTAAAAAAAACAATAACGAAGAGATTGGTGTAAGGTAGTGTAATAATAATAGTAATAGTAGGGGAACAGAAGGGTACAATGAGAAGAAATCTTTCAGTTAAGGAAGATACAACCACGTTTTACGAAGAAAGTAAAAGAAGGTTACAGCATGATCGCCACTGGCTTCCATTCTGAGCCATATCTGATAACGTCTCTAGCCACTGTGTTGCAGCATCTCTCGGACCCCAGTCAGGGAGTCGTGAAGGACCAACATAAGCCAGCCCTATGCAGCTTTCTTTCATACCACGACACCATGTCATATACTGACCACCTTTCCACTTTTTCCAACCAGTCCCAGAGTCGGCAAATAATGCACGATGTGGAATTCTCTGGGACGACATTTGTAGAACATGTCCAAGCCACCGAAGTCGGTGTTTCAAGATGGTGACACCAATTGCATTATCGTCTCTGTGCCCGAACACACGATGCCGAACCTCTGCATTACTAACATGGTGTTGCCACTGGATGTCAGCAATCCTTCGGAGACAACGATGATCGAACACAGAGAGTCGTCTAACGTCCTCAACTCGGAGAGACCAGGTTTCACAAGCATAGAGCAAAACTGCTCTCACCGACGCGTTGTAAATCCGACCTTTTACAGCCAGACTAACATCACGAAGGCGCCAAAGATGGCCCAGATTGGCATAAGCCGCTCTGGATTTCACTATACGTGCATTGATCTCATCACTCACACCCCCACCAGCACTTATGCAGCTACCCAGGTACACGAACTTCTCGACTATTTCTATCTGCTCACCATCCAGGGTGAGTACAGGATTAGGATCCTGCCAGTCTTGTAGAAGTACTTTGCATTTCGAAGGTGCAAAGCACACACCATACCTACGGACACTGATTGCCAACTGAGTAAGTGCGGATTGCATGGCTTGGGCATTATCGCACAGTAAGACAATATCGTCCGCATACTCAAGGTCGAGAAGTCTTTCTCCAGGCAACATATCCACACCGCCATTACTTACATCCATCAGAGCTGTTTCCAGAATGTCATCGATGGCAAAGTTGGATAGGAATGAAGAGATTGGGCAACCCTGCCTAACCCCACTGCTCGAATAGAACAATGGAGAAAGATGGTTGTATGCCCTCACTCTGCCTGAGGTGTTTGTATATAGGGCTTTTAGGATGTTAATAAACTTCTCAGGCACACCCTTCTTTAATAGACAATCCCAGAGAACAGTCCTATCCAAAGAATTGAAGGCAGCCCTGATGTCAAGAAACACTACGATTGTTGGCCTTTGATAAGTATGGCGGTGTTCTAACATTTGGCGGAGGGTGAAGATATGATCAATACATCCTCGACCAGAACGAAACCCAGCCTGCTCCTCGCGAGTCAATCTTTCTCGGGTTTTGAACAACCTATAAAGTATGACGGAAGCCAATAGCTTGGACGCAATCGGAAGTAGGCTTATCCCCCGATAGTTGTTACAGGAATGACGTGAACCTTTTTTAAAGATAGGGACAACTATCGACTCATTCCATGACGTTGGTACACTCTCTAGTTCCCAGACTTTTGTAAACAACGTCGTCACTCCCTTAGTCAGAAAGTCACCACCATCTTTAGAAAGAGCCGGAGGTAAGTCATCTGGGCCAGGTGATTTGTAGCGCTTCAAGAGTTGGAGTTCCTTGCGGGCTTCCGCCTCGTTTGGTGGATCAGTCGTCACCGGCCATGGAGGGCAGGACAGTCTGACCGATGTTGCCGGAGCAGCAGGCCAGTTGAACTGCCCTTCGAAAAATTCTGCCCATCGTCCAAGACGTCGATGGATGTTAGTGATTGGCATCCCGTCATCCTCACAGATTGTTTCGCTCACACCAGACTTCTTGCTGCCAGTAACTCGGATGAGTTGGAAGATCTTCCGGTAATTACCAGATGCAGCTGCTGCTTCCAGCTAATTAGCACGCTCCGACCACCAGGCTTCTCGGTCCTTACGCAAGGTTTGCCTAATTTCACTACGTAACAACCTTCGTTTGTGGTCAAACTCACGGTCACCCGGAGTAGACCGACGGGCTTCAATGAGTTGTAAGGAACCAGAAGAAACCCAGTGCTTAAAAGCGGGACGTTTCGCAAACCCACAACTGACTGTACCCGCCATTTTCATGGCGTCATGCAATTGCAACCAACGCTCATCTATACTTTTTGGTGGTATGGTAGCTAGCCTAGAAGCTAGCTCGATTCGATACTTACTTGCAACAGGAGTTGCAACCGACTTGCTGACACCAATCCTTTGGTGGCGGTCACTTCGTTGGCCACTGAAAAGTAAGGTAAGATTGGCGCAGACCAAGGCATGATCAGAGTCCAGATAGGTACTCCAAAAGGAGCGGCAGTCTTGTACACAACCATGCCAGCGGTAGCAGATCGCGATGTGTCGCTAACACAATATGCTTTCAGCCAAATACATAATAAGTTGAGTCCTTACTGACCAAGTGTATGAACTAGAAGATATTTAAAGTGACGTGATTCCGGAATTTTGACCCAAGTTCAGCTCATTTGAATGACATTCCAAACAGTGATCACTAAAAGACGTTTATAATTATTTGAAAACAAGTACATGTCCTACAGCCTATACAATGCTAACACAGTTAAACACGATAGATGTTTTCAGACGTAGATGTGTTGACTGTGATTGTGAACTCTGGAGGTGATTTCAGAAGTGATCAGTACTGTATAGGAGGAATAAATATGACACCAACATTAAAAGCCGTTATTGAAGATACGACAATCCGACATAAGCTTTCACTCTGCAATCAGACAACTGCTAAGACAATTCTAAAATATCCCCAGCATGTTGAGGAAAAAATCAATAGTTCAAATGTCCTTAATACATAGGAAGTATGAAATTTAGCTAAAGTTACTCAAGACTTAATAACTTGACCATGGCATGGAAAGCAATTGAAATTTTAGTGTCTCAACTTATAGTGATATGCAGATCCACTATCTAAAAGAAGCAAAGAGACAGGTGTTCGATATGATGAGTGATAAAACGTTCGGGTAGTTTCTAAGGAAGGCAAATGAAAATGATGATCAGTAGTCAACAGTCCCATCAGAGACCAGACCTACAATTTCTCGCACTACTGAATAAATTTAATTAGAAGACTTTTAACAAAGTAATTTCCTTAACGAGGACCACTTTTTGGAATGACCATAACTATAAAGCTCAGCTGATGGAATCGCATTTCATCCTTATGTTAATCGATTCTAAGTGCAGTGTTATGGGCTGCAATTGATATGCGGCAGTTACTTAAATACCAGTGGGTGAAGTAAAATCTGTCTCCAGTGTCCGCTTCAGTCTCATTCATCAAACCTCTGGGCCGAAAAAGTTATTAATTGCCTGTTTTATTTAACAAACTAGAACTTAACCAAACATAAATGTTCAAAAGAACAGGTACTTGAAAAACGTCTCGGTGGACAAAATCATAAACAGAGTTCTTCAAATTTCCATTTAGGCGCGAAAGAGCTGTATGAAAAAAGAAATTTTATGTTGCAGAAACCCCAATCAATGCCAAGATGGTTAGGTATTCGCGAAAGTTTCGCTTCGATGTCAAGCCATGCAGCTAGACTTAGGTTAGTATTCAGAATACAGCCCAGGCGACCTCAGATATTGTGTAGGTTCATTGAACGAGAATACAATTGAGGACAACATAAACGTATCTAGACTACTGACTAATATAACAATTTCCTACCTTTTCTGTTTTTGACTGATAGATTTACATGACATATAGGACTAATCCGTAGTCAGATTTTTGTGTTTACGAAATATTTAACGGACTTGGTACTTGCTATCGGGAAACCGTGGATCGGACGACGCAATTAAGAATAAGATGATAGATAAGGATTTATCTAAGCTTCAAAATACATCAGAATGATACATGAATACTTTTTAAATGATTCGCCTAAAGTCAGGCTTAATATTTAAATTTGCATAAATCGAACCAACCAATTAGTCAGTAACTTACTGTGTGGACACGCATTTACATGCTATCTGATTGTGCTTACCAAATTGCGACTACCAATAGCCGTCGAGAAATGGTAGTTATTGGAGTTAATTTCGCCACCCTATTTAATATAACTAGTTAGACACACATGTTTGACTGGAATACGTCAGATGCTTCTATTTGTTACTAATCGCAAGTGCAAATATACGAAGGGTTTTTCGAAAACGAAATATATTAATGACTAATTGAACTAAGTGAAGCATCGAACTCATTGGGGCGGATGTAAACCGGAGTAAAATTCGACTGGATAGAATAAGTCAGTGCAATAACACACTTGTTTTCAGATGTACTGAGAAGGCTTATGGACGCAAGAGGATGGGATAGTCTGATTTTCTTGAAACAACCTACTATGAACCCACCTAAAAGATGGGAATGAGTGTGACCTGATAATGATCAAAACGCTTATTCCATTTTTCGAACTCTGCGTGAAAAGATGCATGGTGGAACTCCACTTAAAAACTTGGTTCCGATAACTGAAGATGTATGGTTTCTGGAAGCGTAACGCAATATATGTTTCGTCTCAAATCATTTTAAGACGGTGGATGTAAATGTTGGTCAAACCAAACTATCTTAAACTTTTGATGACGTGACAACAGATATAACTGAAAACCTATTCACACAACCAAGAGACCTTTTAAATATACGTAATCGGGTTGTACTACCATTCAGCACTTAGCACTCACAGCAGCTGAGAATCCAAACATGACAAGGTCAGAGTTTGTGTTCGGCGCTGTGTTGGATATGCAGCCAATGTCATGAACCAACTTCAAATTAGTTCTTTGAACATTTGCAGATCTAATATTCTAAATCCTTGCAACAAGCCTATATAAACCAATTGATTTCTCTTCTCGCGTTTCTTGTTATTTCTCTATAGTTCAACGTCTAGTGATGTCCATTGATTCAAAAGATTGTTCAGATGGTTGTGGACGGAATAGAAAAAGCTTTCTCTTAACGGGCTTCCGTGTATAATCGTAGTGGATCACCAATACCTACAGGCAGTAATCCAGCTATATTAACGATAGAAGAGAAAAAGGAAGTTAGTAAATCGTAATAAGATACTATTGAAGATGACGCAGGTATTCAGTGTTTGACAACGCTTTTACCAGAAGCACCTTCTAATATGATTTGTATCCACCGAGAGAAATCAAAAGACAGAGTCGAGGAGATCGGGAGAGTGTATTTGGCGATTACCAATATATCGGAATTCTCTGATCTAATCTGGCTAGCGATTGCGGTAGATGTTGAGCACAGCGTTACCACACGTGATCTGGTACGGATGCCTGACCGAGCACCTTCAGCTAGATGAGTCCACTAAAACATGTGGTCAGCATCCAATGTCAAAAAATTACAGAGCTATTTATTTTAGGGATTTATTTACCGCTACACTGTCCTTATTCCTTAAGCATCTGTCGAGTTGTCTCTTAAACGACTCCTGGGGCGTCGTTTTGACTAATTCAGCTGACAGGAAATTCCAGAATTTTACTTCTCTTCAGGAGCAGAAGTTGTGTTTACAGTCCGTTCTGCTGTGTTGTTTCTCCATTTTCTGGGTGTTACCTCTTAGGATTGTGTCGGGGCTAAATGTAAGTATGTGTTTAACGGAATGTCTAGAGGTGTTGAGGACATTGTGAACCATCAGAGAGTCACCTCTAGGACGCCTGTACTTCAGTGGGTAAAGGATGAGTTGTTTAAGGCTCTCAACACAAGACTTTAATTTCAGTCCAAGAGCTGATTTCGTGACTCGCCGTTGGATATATTCCAGAGTGTCCTTTTTCTTTTGAGTGAGGGAGGAAACACTCTTTCCGTACTGTAAATTGGGACGAATGAAACTTGGAGAATGTGTCGGAAGTTCTTACGTCAAACCGGCCAAAAATGCTCATCAATGTCACCAGTGTGAGGTTTGCTTGAAAGGCATTTTTGTCACAGTTAGCGTGAGACTTCAAATCGTAGGGCACCAGCACTCCTAAATCTTTTTCGACTTGGGATACCTCAAGAGGGGAGTCACCGAAGTTGTAACTGTAGTCTGTATAATGTCTCAGATGGGCCACTTTACACTTCGAAGTGTTAAAAGTCTGCTCAACTTTGAAGTCGAGTCAGATCCTCCTGAAATGCCAGTATATCCGCTTGGATGCGTATCTCTATCTAAAGTTTCACATCATCAGCGAAAAATAATGAGTCTGGCGATATCTATTGTGGAAGGTTGCTTATATAAATCAAGAAAGGAAGACGTCCTGGCACTGAACCCTGGAGGACTACACCAGGACATTCCATAGCCTGAGAGAAAGCGAGGTTAACTCTGACAATATATTGTCGAATATTTAGGTATGAAGTGAGTACACCAATTAACAGTTATCATTTCATTTCTATTCCACTCAACAGTGCCTTTTGCGATTTAGCAAACGAAGAGTGCCTTCAGATTTTCCATTTTGTTTTAGCTTAATCGACTTATGAATTCAATTATTAAACAAATGCATCATTTTTAATGCAAAACGTGCAAGTAAAGTGAAATGGAGGAATTATGTGGGAAATGAAGGTGATAAAAAGCGAGGTAGAAAGTATTTTCGTTTTTCCATAATCTAAGATTTTGTCTTTTGGTTCCATCATGCATCGTTTCGATGGTTTACACATTGCTCTGGAACTTCAAAAACTAAATTCTTTTAAAACTGTAATCGCAATTATTATTAGAATAACATATTTGAGTTGGTAACTCGCAGTTTACGCATAAAAGTTTAATACAATAGTTGTTTTTTCTAGTTGAACGTGGCAGATGCATATGTAACAGCTTAGGTTGATTGGTTAATAGTTGACCTCAGTCAACTAGGTACATGTCGAAACAATAGAGTTCAAGTATTTATTCACTTCCTTAATTTTTATAGGCATTATATTTCCAGTTATCTCATATTCAATGCTGTAAAGCGTTGTTTGTCTGAACAGATAATCCCACGCTCCACTGTGACTGCGCGAAGATCTATATAAAGACCTATTCACTACTAGTCTGGGTTTTTCTATGAATAGCACGACGGTTACCTATAGGCACGAAAAATCAACTGACTTTCTTGGTGAAACTACAGGGACAGAATTCAACCGCAACACCGTATCAACGCAAATGGTGGTCTTGACCTAGTTCTGTCTAAGACGTCGTGAATATAAACTAGGATGAGCGGAACTTAAATGGTTTCCGTTTGGACGCCTTGTGTTGACTCAAAATACTATGTTCACTCTGTCATTGTGAAACAATTCGTTTCACAGATAATTCTACATCTAGGGTGGAAGTGGGTCAATGTAACCCATGGTCTTGATCTTCACCATCAAGAATGAGTGCGTCTGGTGTTAAAAGCTTGCTCGAAGTGGAAAACTATTATATGGACACATATCCTGTGGTCATAGAACGTTTCCTACCTGGTCAATGATAAAAAAACATTGTACGTACATAACCTTCATTTAGTGGATCCGTGTTTGTTTTAATGGTGGACGTTACTTTTTGCACACATTACCTCACTTCATGATTGACCGGTGCATCCATCATTAGTACTGTTATATTAATAGACCTAATCCCGAAATTGTAGATATGTGATGATGTGAAATTTTAATCTATGAGATCTTACGTGGAAGTCACATCATCGTCTATTCTGACTCGTCGTAACGTAACAATCAGCAATGTGATGTTGAGCGTTTCTAAAGAACGCATTTAGGCTGGAGATAGAACAATATATTTAATATGAATAAAGGAGATAAGTTACATAAGAATGACCTCGCCTTCAATGCTGCTACATGCCATGTTATTAAATGTTCCAGCATTCACCCTTGTTGGTCTTGTCCTCATGTTATATTTTGAATATCTATTTTCCCATTTTTTTCATGTCCAGCTCCGAGGAATATGTGATTAGGACCAATACCGCTACACAAATTTACTGACAGAATCAACGTGGGGTGACTGAAGAGGTCCTAGAATGCTTACCAAATGATCAAGTTATAGAGAAACATACCGAAATCATCTATAGTGGATAAAGACAATCATGAGAAAAAATTGTTTAATGATGATTATAAACCAATTTATCGACCGGGTATTTAAACAGTTTCAAAGATTTTATGAATTGATTGCAGTAACGTTGAACAGATCAACTCTTCACTCACCAAGTTAGTTGGTGATTTATGCGATTTCGTTGTCCCTTGACATCTTTACATTATCCTATTTAATTCATACTCTCTCCACAATAAGACATCTAATCCTAGATCTCTGGCTTACCCGACCAATCCATGCTGCATTCTAATTACTGAAATTTGGTACACACATAATAGTTCTGATTTAACACAGTAGATTTTTACAAAATGTACCGTAAAGAGTGAAATACGGATAAAGGTGAAGGCTGTATAATATATGTACGATTTGATATTGTTTCCAGTGTGTTACGGGCTTCTAGATGACAATATATTCATCACTGTGGGTAATTGTGCGATCAGCATTTTATGATACGTTGCAACTGTAGACCACCAAATGCTGTTCGTGTAATAGATACACATTTATATTAGGTATTCACATACTCATCGTCACAACCTAGAGCTATGTTAATGGGTGGCGATTTTAATATTAGGGTAAAACGCATAGTTGGATCTCATCCATCGCAAGGGATCGAACCAAGGTGGTAAAAATATAGCAAGACGTCTCCGACTCTCAGAACAATCCTAGTGGTTTCTAATGGCCTTTTGATTGAAGTATTTAACAGAGCAAGCAATGAGTATGATTTAACCCCTGCAACTACTTGAAGGAGAATTATTATTCACATTTTTACTGTCAGTCATCAAATGACTAGATAGTTTTATTTTCAAACTCTTTATGTTGTGAGATTCACAAGACTACTACTAAATAATAAATAAATATCTGAAATAGCTATCAGTTCATTTCTTTCCAAATGGAAGGTATTAACAGTTCCTGCATATTCAATAGAGTTGTGATTGCAAACGCTATTTCATCCTTATAAAGTCCGACAATTTTGACCAGTTATTTCGAACGATGTGCATAATAGAGCACTGGGTAAATTCGCACATATGTGTCTTATATTTTCGGTGGTGTTTAAAACGTATGGCGTTTGTACCTTCAGTGAACAAGACTGAGTAAGTATTCTGAAAACATGACACTGCTGTAAGCATGGACCACATCTCCCGATTTTTCCGGAATACCATAAACGCTCAAATCATTTACCCTCCGCGAGACGAAAATCTGTCATTCTAGATTACTCAGAACCAACCACAGACATGAAGTTGAGCATGTTTGACGGACTGATTAATTTTTATCGAAAGTTCCCACATAAATGTGAGTCTCTCATAAGGAACTCAACAGGGCGGCCAGTTGAAGATTTAAAGATCAACTTAGACCACGCTGCAAAGGAAGTATTTTCCACAGTGGGAGGCGGTATCACCTAGCCAACCATACTGGCAAAACTCGATACGAAAGTAACAATTGTTATCTCAGTGGACTCATCTGATTCGGCGATCAGAGGAGTTCTACGTCAGTAGGTAAACGATGACTAGAAACCTTTGGCATTCTTCTCAGGACAGTCGCAAGACATTGTATCGAGGTACAGCAATTTCGACGAGCAACTCCTAGCGATTTACCGGGCCGTACAGTCCCGTTAACACTTTGTTCCCCACCTACGGATGTCTTATTTCTTATCTTAGCTCTTTAGAAAAGTCTCGACAACAAGGTAGT